AATATGGCTTTACGTGGCCGCAACTTACCCCACAATCATAAAATGTGAACAACAGAGGTCCTCCATGGCATTAACCAGCCTCCAACAACTTCACATTATCTTCGTGATTCACTATTTATTCAATTGATCAAATTGCCCAATTAGAGTTTTTCTTTTGGTCCACGGCACTTGCGCTTTTATCGAATCAAGTGAAGAATTACCTTTTCGAACCGGCGGCATTCAGTTGTCAACTGAGCACATATGCTTTTGCCGACTGTGTACTACCACTAACTGCTGCCCGCTTAGGGTGTCTTATCTGCAAGTCGGATATGCAGCCACTCAGGAGGGAAGCTGCTATTCGAGCTGGCGCACAGCATGTGGTCGCCAGTGAAAGCAGCCAGGCCTTGCTTGCTGTGCCGGTTCGTGCCGTGCTGAGCGTCAAAATCTTTAGTGCTTTGCTATTTGCGCATTTCCGGTTTCCGTTGCAGTTGCACGTCTTCAACCAATTCCCATGCCACCACAGATACATTCTTTATATGCAGCAAATATCCTGCTATGCACCAAATGCTTTTTATTCCACTGTCGTGCACGTTGTCGCTCCAGCTAGACGGTGGGCGACCAGGCGATGGCTCCATGCATGGGAATTATTAACTAAACAGGCGGCATCAGCACCAACAGCAGCACCGACAATAGCAGCAAGGACACCACACCGTTAAGGTAATGCACGTTATGGCGTCTGCATGCCAGAATGCAGCATCGCTTCGAGCCCCAGTTGATGGCGTCCATAAAGTCTGCAAAAATATTATGATGTGTGCATTGTTTGAAGTACCCGCCCACCTGCGCAGTTTATGCGTGTATATGTGCGCCCAGGGACTTGATATGTATGAAAAGCTTCAGCACCAGCAACAACACCAGCTTCAGCTCCAGCTCAATGGCCCCAAGCCCCTGGTAAACCAATCGTTACTTTTTATGTGGCAAGCTTTAGCCAATATTTTCAGTTGATGCCATTTGTGAGCCGCTAGCCCGCTAAGCTGGCAATGCCCAAAACAACTCCCCATCTGGCCATGGCTACGCTTCGGTTATGCAAGCATTGGCATGATTATTGAAAAACTATTAACAATATGTAATGCAGAATAATATACTTATATCCATAAGTTAAAGAATTAAGAGTTAATTTATAAACATCAAAACTTTTAAGGTCTTCGAGTTAAATTTAGCAATTGTACCTGAAATTTGTACTTTTCTTAAAGCTTTTCAACTACGCACTCGTAAAAAAAAATCAGCTTATATGCGCACGTTTCAATAAAACTTAAAGGGGGGAGACGGTCGGCGAAATCAAACTCGAAATGTAAGTAAATAAAACATATTGTTTGTTATATAGGAAGACATTTTGCAAAATTGCCATGATTTGCAATGCAAATCAAACATAGCGCCATTATTTCACATACACACACACACACGCGCGTACTTACACGATATGTGGAAATAAAAGTGAAACCTCGGCGCATATGTTGCTTCAAAGACCGCGAACATCTGTCTGGCAGTCTGTCCGTTGTGCTTGAAACCATTGCGATAATAACGCACACAGGGAGCAGAAGTGTGTGCGCGTGTGTATGAGCTGGTCTTAACCTGCGGCGCAACGCGAAATAACAACTACAGAAAAACGGCAACAGCCGTGGCACAAAAACAAGACTGAAAAAAAAAAATAAACAAAAAATAGCAAAAAATATGTTTTATACATTTTCCTTCACTTTGCATTTTTGCGTTGCTCGCTGCTCGCTGCTCTGTTCCCGTTGCTCCTATTACCGGCAGTTATCCGGCCCCCAGTACGATGCCGGCCGCGCAGTCCTTGGCCCCGCGGCAAGCAATTGCCTTAACTGTGCGTGTTTTCATTGCGTTGTCTTTTCTTTTTTTATTTTTGTTTTTGTAAATTTTTGATTTGTTATTGTTGCACGTGTTGTCTTTTGCCTTTGTTATGACAATTTATGCCAGGCGGGAAACCGAGCAGTTCAACAAGATCAGGGGATGTTGTTGGCAGCATGTTGTTGTATATACGCCCGTACTTATAACAGATGCACATTATTGTATATATACACATCCTATGCACACACACTTTTCACATAAAACTTACCTGAAAACATTTTTGACTTGGTGTCAATTATGCGAAAACACACCTAAAACAACACACATCCGGCTGGAGAATAATGTGAGGAATGTAATGTTATTAAAGTAGACTCAATACACTCATGGTTATTCAATTAACTTTGAAATAAAATGCAATTTTCATTGTTATTTTTACAAAATTTTTTTGCTTGTTTTATTTGTTTTCCTTCAATATATTTATGTATACATAATATAAGTTTTTGTTTTTAGCCGTTTATTTTAAATATTATATTACGTGTTACTTCTATTCATCATTTCTATGTTGCAATAGTTGTTCTTCATGTTGTTTTTGTTTAGCTTTGTATATTTTCTTAATGCTTCTTCTCGCTGGCAACTCATCGACTCATCGAGGTCCTAACTTCTGTGCTGGCCCTTTATAATTACATTCGAACCTCATTTTGAGAAGCCTGCATTTTTCGATTTTCATTGTTTTCCTTTCTTTTTTTTTTGTATATAATTTGTATATTTCGCTTGCTTTTTATTTGGTTTACTCTGGCGCGTTGGTATACAAAAAACGCGACCAAATTTTTGTTTTTTTTTTTTTTCATTTTAACTATAAATATTTTCTTTCTTTCAATTTTGGGTTGCTATGCTTAATTTGATTAACCTTTTAATATTCGTTACGTTGTTTCACTTGTGATTTCTTATGAAAACGACATTTTGTATATATGTATGGATGTGTGTGTATGTGTATGTGTGAGTGTGTAGTTATGTAGTTATGCTTGATACCATAAATATATATATATATATATATATATATATATATATATATATATATTTATATAGATATATATATATATATATATATATATATATATATATATATATATATATATATATAATTTTGCAGTATATTTAAAACATAGCTTATTCCTTGTATTTTTTGTTTTTGCTTATTTCTCTGCTTTGCCTTATATTTTGCTTTCATAATTTTCCTGTTTGTTTTTGGGGTTTGTGTCTACTAATCCTTGTCCTAAAACACACTCAAACATTCTTAAATTTCTACAAAATATTTGCAATACTGCAGTCGATATCTATACTTTGTTTATTTTATTTGCTATTTTCTTATCATATTTTATGTGTTAATACACATATGCAATTTATATATATATATATTTAAAGACTACACATTTATTTATATGTATTTCTTTAATTAATGTGTGAGTGTGTTTGTGTGGGTGCTAATGTATGTGGTGAATTGGTGTGCACGGCTTGTCTGCGGCTTAGTGTGATGCTTTCCAAAATCTACATATGCATGTCTTTGGTATTTTGTATTTCTTTTATTAGCAGCTTTTGGTTATTTGCTCATCATTTTGATTTCTTCTACATTTGTTGCGTATTTGGTTTACAATCTTACTGTGATTTTAAATGCATAAAATGCATGCATATGCCCTCTGGAATATTGCACAAATATATTGTGGATCGCTTCCTTGCAGTGACTTGCGCAACTGCCTCAAATGTCATTTCGCTGGCATTTGGAATTATAAGGGGGGGCTCTTCTAGCTGTACTTACATTTCTATTATATTAAGTTTGCTAGTTTAACGTTTAATATTTGGGTTGGTTTATATCATATGTTTGTATTTTTAAGTATACGAGACGACAAATAATATTCGGCCGTCGGTTGAAGGGATTTTTCGAGTGGTTGCCCTATGGCTCTGTTAATTGTTGCAAGTCTGCCTTGTTATTAAGCAAAAAACCTTTTACATATCTGTCTATGTTAGATGTAATTTATGTCACGTTTACTTGCATCGTGTTAGCTTACAAACCGCATTTCTTCGGTTTTATGGGTTTGAGTACTGCCCTATGTAAATATGTTAAGTTATGTAATTGATTATACTCTTATTGTATTGTTGCTTAAATAATACTTTCATTTGATTGATTTTCGGTTTTTGCTTTGTTGTAATTTGATTTCATTTTTATTTTCATTTAATTTAATTTATGCTACGTGCCTTAATTACAGACTGAACCCTGGCCCTATCTTCCTTCTCGTTATGCTTGTGTGTGTCGTACAATTTTGCTAATGCTCCAGTTTCAGCTTTTCAATAATTACACACCAAATTGACTAAATTGAAATTGCAGTTCATAATCATAAACTACAATTAGTTCATTTTTGTGTTTCGTTCTCTCCGAAACGACAATTACTTTAATTTCAATTTTAATATTAAATGAGTTTCAAATATATTATAGAGAAATCCAACAGATCAATTGAGCTATGAACTTTAATATCCTGACTGCGAGAAAAGGAAAACGCATGTTAAATTATAATAGGGTGTAAGAAACTTAGTTTCAACTGGAGCCCCAGTTAGTACTGGAGAGTAATTAGTTACCGCGTCCAATTTGACATACTTACTAATCTATACAAAACATCCTCCCTTGCCTGTTGGTTTGACATTATGTAGTTGTCCTTATAGACGCCCATAAATATTTTGTTAATTTTACTTGTTTTGGTTTATGGTTGCGTTTGCTGTTTTTGTTTTTGTTGATACTGTATATATATAAATATTTTGTATATGTATATGTTTGTAGACGTATATAAATGTCTTAGCACATTCATTAGTTGCACAACATTAATACTTTTTTTTTCGTTTTTTTTCCTTTCTTTTTTTCTATTGAATCTGTATTACTTTTCTATATCTTAATGCCTTAAGTTTCTGTTTTGTTATTATATTATTCAGTTTCCAACTCTGGGTTAGCTTCTATATGGAAACTACATATTTAACTCTTTACTGATATGTTGTGCAAACATTAACAAACAAACCAATAATATTTGTATATAATTTTTTTTTTGTATACTTTTATATATATTTTTTTTGTTTTTTTTTTTCCTTTTTTTTTGTAATATAAAGTTTGCTTTTCATAAATGTTCTGTTTTTTCTTATAGCCAAATTTTTTAAACTTTTTTTATTGGTTTGGTCAACAATGCTTTAAATTTGTATCTGTCTAAGTTATTGTTTACTTAACAAAAATCGTCATTTTATTTCTTATTTTGTCGCTTTTTTTCATAAACCAAATAACAACACAAAATTGCAGTTAACGCATCAGCTTCAATCTCTCAGAATCGAAAGCTCTGCCTTGCTCCTTTTTAAAATCACATCTACGTCTAAATCGTTTCTTGTCATGTTGAAACATGCAATGCCTCTCATAGTCCTACTACTCGTTAGTTCTAGTGCTAAAAACATCTTAGTGTACATTACAACTCGCTTGTTTCTTAAGCTATGTCTGTTTCGTGGTTCGATTAGGTTACGGTTAAGGTTACGGTTACGATTACGGTTACGGTTACGGGTACGGTTACGGTTACGGTTACGGTTACGGTTAAGGTTAAGGTTATACTTTGCGATCCTGCGTATGTGAGCTCGGTTAGCTATAGACATGCATACACAACATTCAATTATGTATTTTGAACTCTAGTACTACTACTTGCCTCTCCCTCCTCTCCGCTAACTGTCATTGCACTTCCCGGCTGGATGAAAAAATGCAACCAACTTTTGCCCGTGTGTGTTCACAATATATTGTAAACAATGCGCACACACTCACATCAATTGGATACAAAAATAAAGATACGCCGAAACAATAAAGATAAAGCTCGCCATATGCAAATCAAAGCCCCCGTTTTCCCCCAGCTGCCCCTTTAAACAGCAAAATTCATCTGCAGTTATTTTTAGTTGATCTATTACATGTTATATGTATGTTGTTTTGTTGTTATCATTTTAATTGGTTTTTATTTTGAACATTTATTTGTAATTTATCATCCAAGACATACTCGCACATTTACGCATAGATATATGTATGTGGAGGACACACACGAGAATATCATTTGCCGTGCGTACTCGTACCTAGTTTACTGTACTCGTCTGTATGCATATATGTATATGTATAAGTATACTAAATTGCTATGCTAAATGTGTATGTATGTATACCTTTAAATATGTGTATGTATTGATGTACACAATACAAGCATATTTTCTTGCTCTCTTAATACTTTCTACATAAACAGTAATATCTCTAGCTGTATGCATGTGTGTATCTTTGTAAGTGTGTGTTAAAACTAACTTTTGTTTGACATCCAGTGAACTACGATTTCTATATGCCTTTCATACAAACGTACACTTAGATGGGGATGGCCAGTTGGAGGCGTGGTGATGCTGCACCAGGTTCCACTGTAAGTGTACCCTCTTTTTACCCTCTGATGACTCAGCTAGTTCTTATACGAAAAGTTCTACATGCAATATATGGGGGCATCTCAACTATTAAGTAATGTGTGTGTGTTTGTGTGTTCCTATGCTCACTAACTAGTTCACCTCGTGTGTGTCTGGATGCGCTAATTGCTGTTTTGTTATTTCTGTTGTAATTGTTGGGCATTGTCGGACATGCATAAAATTAAACAGGATCTTCGGAATTTGCATTATTGTATTTTTGGTTTGTTTTGCTGAAGCGAATTGGTTATGCGCTCATTTAATTTCTATGTATAGGTATTTTATTACAGTTTTGCATTTATTATGGCTAATATCAATTAATATCATTCGATGGCATATTTTGATTGTATTCATTATATGTACGACTATGTAGGTATGCATGTACTTGTGTGACGTTTCCTTTAGTGTTAGCTAATCCCTCTCCCATACATTGCACAGACCATTTACACTCGCAATTTGCTATTCCCTACCACATTTTATGGCTATGAAATTTGTGAACTCGATATGAAAAAAAAAACATTTCCAGTCTAAGGCCGGCAAATAAATAAATGAGAGTCAACTCGAGTTCGACTTAAACTGAGTTTTACAAAATCCAAATAAGAGTATGTTTGTGGGTAGAGTTTATGAAATATAGCAAATTACAAGTTCTATAGACTTGTGGAACACATGGGTTTCATCTGTATCTATGTATCTTTACATAATTTGTATCTGGTTTTTGTTTGTTCTAACACAATAAATTTGCAGCTAACCATTCATCTTCTGGCAACTGAAATAAAAACATACATTTTATACGTTTATTTAGTATAAACAGTTGATATGAAAATGCAAAAGCAAGTCAAAATGTTTATGTGGAAGTTTTGTAATGTTGCTTTGTACATGTCTTTTCAAAGAATTTTTCAAAATCGCGTCAACTTATAAAATTATAAACCAAATGATATTATTGCAAACTGAGTGAAAATATAAAGAAAAATCAAGTGTTTATCTTGCTGCTATTAATTACAAAGCTGGAGTGACAGATAAAACGTATGCTTGACGCCATATTTAACGAGGTTTGGCTTCGAATTCCAAGATCGAGTTTATGTTTGAGTTTAGCTTGTGGCTGCATTGCATTGGACTTTGTTGCGCTTATCAACGTATAATAAATATTTACGAGTATATCATAAGTTATTTCATATACTATTAACTGCGAGTGCTTGTGGCTATGTTTATGTGTTCTGGGACTGTCTGCGAATGAGTGTGTGTGCATGTGTGTGTCTGTGTGTATGTATCTGTATGTAGGAACATGTCTTTCAATTACTGAGCAATCACAAAATAAAGTACTATATAGTTATATGAGCTTTAGTGCGTTAGTATGTTGCAATGGTCTAACAATTCTTTGTAACATTTAGTTGCAGACTATAGGAAAATGATAGCAGGAAATGTCGAGTTCACCAATTGTCTGGCTTGTCTTGGCTAGGCCTGGCAATTGTCTATATATGTGTGTGCGCTCACATGACAATGTGGCGACGTTCTCGTCTAGATCTACGATAGTAACAGGCACTAGTGCTATGTGTATTATCATTGTGACATTAAATAGTGTATGCATTTGAGTGTGTGGTAAATGCTGCTAAGCGACTATCAGAAGCTGAGCACAAAAGTAGGCAATGTTAAATAATGCGGTTACGCATACAAGTATGAATATGTGTTTGTATATAGGTAGCTGTGTGTGTGGGTGTGGGTCGGGGCTGTGCCAAGGGGCTCCTGGGTACGTCTGCGTCTGGCTTGTCTGCACGCATGTCACAACACATACAGACATAAAAATTTGTATAAATAAATGTAGGTGTACGTGTGTGTGCGCGTAATTAATTTTAACGCATTTTTAATTATGTTTACTTTCATTTAATTCCGCGCTGGCGCATGTGACTGTTGTGTGTATGTGATCGCAATTTGTATGAGTGAGGCTGCTTTGCACAATACACATGGAAAACAGCATACTTAATTTATGGCTTCTCCTTTTTTTGCTTTTTTAATCAAATTGCTTTTTACTTATTTAAGCAATATATTTCTTTTGTAATTATCATAATTTTTTCTTCAATTAATTATAAATCTCTCTATTCGTAGCATGCTAAACACATTTATATAAAGCATAAATTTATTTATTTGTGTCGGTGTGATTTGCGACCTGTCAGTGTATTATAAGCAATTAGTTGTTTTTATTTGGGAATTATTTTTTTGTTTTGTTTTTCAATATTTTATTTAATGTTTAAGGCTTATACAAGGGCCGCGTGCAAGTGTTTATGAACCAAATACTTCATAAACAATTGCAAATGGATGTGTGTGCTTTAGCATATTTTGTTGTGGTTCTACTTTGGTTTTCGGTTTTTGGCTTTTGGCTTTTGGTATTTGGGTGCAGCACTCAACATTTGACGGACGCCAAATTGACGTCAATTGTTAATTTCTCGGCGCTTCGCATTTATTTACAGCTGATTTTTTGGTTTTGTTTCTGTTCAGAACTTCTGCTGTACTTTAAAAATTTGGATAGTATTTTTTTTCTTTTTTTTTTCTGTTGTTTACTGTGCCTGCAAAAGTAAAGGATAAACCTTAAAAAATAATATGGGTGTTAGTAAAAATTGGAAAAAAATAGTAGACGGAATAAAATTATTTATAATGCAGAGAAAACTTTATGCAGCTTTGTGTATATTTTATTATGATTGTTGCATTAAATACTTTGTGTCCAGCAGTAAAATAAATTTGATTTGTTGTATAATCTACGTGAGTATTAAGCGAACGCATGAGATTAACAAATAAAAAATAACAATTAAATAATGCTTACGATACTTTCAAAATATGTTGATATTCAAAGCACATGCTTTAAAGCAGGGATTATGTATTGAAATCGAACAAATGCGGAGAGAATGTTTATAAAAATGTTTTTTATGTTTAATTATTATTGTAAACGGCGAGCAATGAAAAAAACATTAAAACGTATTTTAATATTTTATGGTTTGTTTGTCGTTGTTGTCCCGTGGCTTTAAAAATGCAGTGGCAAGAACTTTTCTTTTAATAAAATTATTTTTTCGAAAACAACCTTTTGTTTATTATATATTTGTTTTACTTTAGCCGGTGCATAAAAAGTGTATGTATATGCGCTCAGAATAAGTTATTGACGTAATAATTATGAATATATTTGAAACAAAAATATTTTTTTTTTATTGATATTTAACCTCATATTATTTTCTTGAATATTTAAGTCGTTTTTTTTTTTTTTTTTGTTTTTCTAATGCCAATATTTGCAATATTTTAAAATAATTAAGCTGAAAATTTGCAAAGCAGGCAACAATAGAAAACGAAAAAATCGAAAATGTGTCGTGTTGCTCATACATAAATATGTCTCATATATAAATAATCAATAAGCAAATAAGCGAAATAGCAAACAACCGGATCGAGCCAATCAGATTGAGAACGTATTCAAAGCATTCATCGAACATACTAGACTCATCGAGATATTGAATATATGTATTTACAATTGCGAGTTGGTTTTGCATGTATGTGTGAGTAATGGTGCGTGTGTGTGTGAGTGTTTATGTCTTCATGTATTGGTATAAGTTAGCACCTACCTGTGGGCTCACTTGGAACTGCTGTATCGGATAAGCAACCACGCCGGCGGCCTGTGGTATAGCAGTGCCTGCAACACCCGTTGCCAACTGTTGGGCCGGCGAGATCTGGGCCTGGGTGACGCCTTGCCAAGTGGCTGGTATCTGCACGCCCATTCTGCAAGTGGAGTGAAAACGAGAACATGCGCACGAGTATAAGCCAAAGGTTGATGATGGCAACAGAGCCCTTGTGTCTAGATCTGACTGCGCGGCGTTTCCCTGACGCCTGCCGTATGCGACAATTACCAACGACGAGACAGAGGACTACGGCTATATGGCAGTTGCACTTACAAATCCAACAACTCCGGCTAGCACACTGCTAACAGCCGAGCATGTGGAATTGCATGCCATTCGCCAGGTACATATACGCCGCAGTCGCAAATGAAAACTTTAGCAATTAGCAAATGAATTCACTCATCCGTCATGCTGTCGCTGCCCATCCCCGGTGGAGGTTCAATCATTTTGTGTAAGGAACCATTGAGTTGGGCTGAGGGCAGGGCAGGGCAGGGCAGAGCAGGGCAGGGAAAACGCAATGCAGGCGCATCAGCTAATGAAATAATTATGCATAAATCGATGGCAACGGCATCGAGTTAACCTACCCCATGTAGCCCTGCTGATAGCCTCCGTACTGGCTGAAATGGTAGCCTTGGATGCCCTGCAGGAACTGATTCTGTACAGCCGCAGCGCTGGCGGCCGCTGCAGCAGGTGTTACAGCGGCTGCGGTGGCCGACGAGGCCGGATAGGTGGGCGTCGGCGAATACCAGCACCCAGTGGCGGCCAACTGCTGCCCATAAGCGGCAGCGGCGGCAGCAGCAGCGCTCACGCCATACGGAAAGCCAGCGGCAGCGGCGCTGTTTAAAGCCTGGCTGGCCATAGTCTGGGAATTGTTTGGGTCGCCGCTCTCCTTGCCCCAGGAGCACTTAACAGGCTGTGCATTGATTTCGGTGTTGTGCACACCGACGATGGCATGAGTGGCGGCCTCCTTGGTGGAGAAGCTGCAAGCAAAAGATGTCGCATGTGGCAAATGAGCATCTGGGTACCTGTGGCATGTGTCTGCTCTCCACTCACCGCACGAATGCGTAGCCCTTGTCCTTGAAGACGCGTATTTCCTGTATCGCGCCGTAGGGCGCAAATGTTTTCTGTAGCACCTCCTCGCTGAGTGCGGTGAGGGCGCTGTTAACGCCGCCCACATAAACGGTGCAATTGGAGGGACTGCTCTGGTTGTAGACCTCATCGAAAGTCAACGGCTTGACATTCTCTAAAGGATGAAATATGAGAACAGAAATTGGCAACGATTTCCATTAGTGCGAATTCATTTCGATATTTCGCAAATGTTGCCCTCAAGCCACAATTAATGACTGCAGTTTTTATGCCTCTGTCGTGCAGACATCCTTTTTTCATATTTTATGTCTTGTTGTTTCTGTTATTGTTGTTCTTGCTATTGTTTTTTTTTTTTTTGGTTGTTTTCAACGAACTGCATGATTAATATGCAAATTAATTAAGGGTTTTGCCCGCAGCAACAACGACTACAACGTCGGTTGCCTACGGTTTTGGTAATTAAAATAACCGCATACACTTAGTCAAAATGTTTCAGTGTGTGTGTGTGTATGTTGTATGTGTGTATGTGAAAGGGTGTATATGTACTCCTGTGCGACAGCATTTACCGTTACTTCAATTGTTGTTGCTGCACTTTTAAAAGTTGTTGCTCTTGTTATTGCATTTTTTATTATACGTATTTGGTGTATACACATTTTACATATTTTACGTATTTTTTCGTATTTTTTCGTATTTTTTCCATATTCAACTGAGAGCTGGGAGCCAGTAATTGGGAGTTGGCAACCCAAATTGTTCGCCATATTGTGGCTTTCTGTGTTGTTGTGGTTCTTGTTGCCATTATTGCTGTTAGTTCTGTTGGTGGTACTGCTATACGGCATTTGTGCACGTACTTATTTCTATGCAAAAGTTACACTAATTACTTCCTTTGAGGTTAAAACAAAATTTGCACTTTTAAAAATAATGTCAGGTTTGCGTGTTTATGTCTTTGTTTAGTTTTCAACAATTTTCAGGCGTTGTGAACCAGACTTTGGCGAAACATTTGTTAACTTTATTAACTAACGGTTTCTAAAAAACGACAATCGAACTTAAAAGGAACGTGAACATTCGCTTAAATGCCGGTTCAATACTCGGTAAATTCATTTAAGTCAATTTTACAACAAGCTGCCTTGCTGCGTAAATATAAAAATATTTTTGATTATAATACGGTCATTTTGATTTAAAAAACAACATCCAAATATGAACATGATTTAACTATAACTCTTGTTAGTAACATACATATATTAAGGCGATTATTATTAATTTATTAAAGTGTACGCTAATCTGTTCTCATAATGCAAGCATCTCCTAAGCATTTTATAACCAAGAATTAGAACAAATAGTTCAGTAATAATAAATATTTTTAATATAAAGCGTAGCGCACTGGCGCCAATCGTATTAGCCTAACCGCTGTAATGCAACGAATTTACCCCGGCATTAAAATGCCTTTACATGCCCCAGCTAGCAATACCTGTCTCTCTCGCTCTCTCCACTCTCTCTTTTCTTCCACTCAATATATCACTCTCACTGACTACCTGTTTCTTTCGTGGTGCCTTGCAGCGGGCCAAACCACACAGAAAAATATGGCTCTATAGCATGCAACAGGACAATTCCTGCGCTTACACACAACACACGCACCAGGTCTCCAACACTCACACACACGCACCAGCTTAACAACAGGAGCAACAACAACATGCAAAGAACCTGCCGAGGGTGCAATGTAGAAACTAACAAGCTTGCAAATATTTTTGAAAGCTTTTGCCTCAAATAAATACGACTTGCCGGCTACACACTCCAACACACACACACTCACACACGTGCATGCATGCACATGTATATGGATGCCCTCACGTACTCTCAGCGCGTGAGGGGCTCATGCAAGCGGCATTGTATACTTTTGAGCGCAATGTTTCACTAATTTGCACTTTGCTTTGTGCTTCTGCCATCGTTTCATTTCTTTGCCTCCATTTTTCTTTACGCTTTTAAATACGTGTAATTAAATTTGGATATGTAGGGGTGCGACACACACACACACGTACGTGCTTAGCCTTGAGGCGATTTGCAGTTGCCGTTGTTCTTGTACCTTCTGGGCGGGTCAACGTTGTCCCTTGCTACATTTCATTTCATGTCTGAACCAAATTAAAGTGCTTGGCGACGTTGCTGCCCGTAGCTTTCACTGCAAGTGTGGACATAATTATCACGTTAAAACTAAGCGCCTGGCCCGCGGGCAGGCTACATGAATAACAACACAGCCAAACGACTGTCTGACTGCCTGTCCGTATAGCTCTCTCTCTTTCTCTCCCTCCCTTTTTTCCATCTCTCTCTCTCTCTCTCTCTCTCTCTCTCTCTCTCTCTCTCTCTCTCTCTCTCTCTCTATTTCTTTTATAATGCTGCAATTTTAATGAGCAATTAGTGTCATGTAGAACCTAATGATAAATTAATCACACAATCATTAACGTAAATAATTCAAACTTATATGCATACGTCACACCCAAGAACAAGAACAATAAGCACAAAAACCTGACGGCAAGACAATTGTGAATTAGCCCCGCTTATTTTCAACTAATTAATATGCATTAGGTGGGTGTGACCATGTAAGTTTGATTTTCGTGCCTGAGAAACAAATAGATAGTGAGAGAGAGAAAGAGCGAGAGAGAGAGAGAGCTATGCTTCGAGTGTATGTGGATGGATGCATTTTCTTTATGTTAAAGTTTTCCGCTTTTAATATCTGAACATTAAGTACTGTCATATAATGCTACCAAAATGCTTTCTTAAATATCAACTTTCAGGAGTAGGTCATAAGTTAAACACAGGCTGTTCGCTGAACTTATTTACAGCACATGAATAGGAGTCGGCCACATAATTTACATTTAGCTGGAACTTTTCATGTATACGATTACAAAAACAGTAACCAGCACTTGGGCAGCGCATTGAGGCATTTCAACTTTTACTTAATTGTGCGCAACTCTGCATAAAATGTTGATTTATTGCAGCAACTACAACTGCCAGGTAAATAGGCGGCACACGCACACAGTCAAATAATTTGCCTCAAGTTTGTGTCGCTCCCGAACTCACTCGCTTTCTCTCTCCCTCTCAGTCTCTCTCAGTCCACGAGCACTCAACAGTCGACAGTTTGCCATTGCAAAACAGTCAAAAGTCAAATAGTTTTGGCACAGAAATTTGTCATACAACATCGTCGTGGAGGTTGTTGTCGTCGTCGTCGTCGTCATCGTCGTGGGCTTTGTGTTACCGGCATATTGTTTCAGGTTAATTAAGTTATTACCATAATGAGCTTGTAAGTATTTTGGCCTTTATTTATGGCATGCATTGAAATGAAGTCGCAGTCGGGGCCTTAACCGGTTAACAAAAGCAAAACTTTGGCAGAAACTTTTGCCACGAGCTGTTGTCGACAATAAAAAATGGCAAATGCGTTTGTTATAAGCCATGAACCTAAAAAATATAAAAAAGGAACCGGAATATTACAAAGCGACGCCAAAATTGTCACAACTGTAAAATGCGCAATTGCGTCGGCTCGTAAATCTTAGCTACAAAAGGAAGCGACACACAAAGAAATACACACGCACACACTCACAGGCAAGTGGCTTACTAAACGCCGCAACTGCGGACTGATTGCCATGGCCATAAAATGTGCAGCCTGCTTAAAACATAAAAATGCCAGAACAAGACTGGCCAAAAGCATCCGCACAGCAGCAGCAGCAAAGTGGCAGCGTAAAACATCAAGTAATGCCAAATCCCAAATGCGAAATGCGAAATGAGTTGAGTGCTACAAATCGTAAGAGTTGCCTGCCAGCAGGCACCCCAAGCAACTAGACAAGGCCATAAAGTCCTCAACCTACTCAACACACACGCACACATATCAAAGATTTATGCACACATGCACACTTGCACACGCCAACATGTGTGTGAGCCCCATGGAAAGCCCAAAACCCTTTATAGAGCGTCGACTAAACGACAGCTCGTAATTGTGTAAAATCTTTGTCGGCGTCTTCGATTTTGGGTCCTGGCTGCTGAGTCAGCTACTCAACCAAACAAAATATCCAAATTATTTCGCTGCCAAATTGCTAATAATAACTTGTATTGCAGCAACAACTACTACAGCTAGGCCCCGTACAATTCCCGCTCGGCCGGAGCACAGACAAAGCCGTGACAAAGGCAAATAAACAATGAGACCAATAAAAATCCGCTTAGGCTTTCATAGGCGTTTTTTATGACAACAATATAAATGCAAAAGCAAAAATTCATGCTCATAGTTGTTGTTGCCCCAAAAATGGGAACCCTTCAACATGTCAGACCTTCCTTCGCACGATAAATTCCACCTTGACGCTCTGTGTGTGTGTGTGTGTGTGTGTGTATGTGTGTGTGCTTGTGTCTGGCTGTGTGTGAGTGTGTGTGTGCCAAATGTTTGTTCTATAACCATGAAATTTTTGCTATCCTGTTTCTCAGTATGTGTGTGCCTGTGTTTGTGTGCCTTTTATGATAATAGTTTCGTGTTGGCAAAATTTATTTATCTGATTTGCGCCCTCTCCTGCTTTCTCTTGAAGTCTGTATCTGTGTGTTTGGGTGTGTGTGTGTGTAAGTCAAACAAATAAAAATTATGTTAAAACATGCAAATACGCATTAACTTTTGATTTATGAGAGACAAAGACGAAATGAAACGAACCGCCCTCCGTCGCGATTGTTCGCTAACTGTTAATAATGATTACGCTAGTTACAGTTAGTTTTGTGGCTAGGAGCAAGCTGAGGGCATTCGTGGGCGTGGCCAGATGAAAATTGATTCGCCGTGTCTAATAGAATATGTCGCATTACTTTTATTTTTGGGACCTTTCGCCGTCGACTAATTGAAAAAGTTTAAACCGAATTTTTAGACCTCGGCCCATTACGGAAATTAAGCGCGTGCGGTTTTTCAGACATCAAAAAATATTAAGAAAACATAATCTGGTGGAAAATTTGCTGCGACACGTTTATAAATAGCGGACGGGTCGACGGGTCGACAGGTCGGCGGGTTGGTGCTCGATGGGTCGATGGGTGGATGGGTCGGTTTCTCGCCGGCTTACTTTTCTGCTTTACCTTTGGCCCGTATCATGGCACTGATACCTTTGGCATTCATTGCCATAATTTCCTGTAATAACAGCGATGCGTCGACTCCTGGCAACAACGGCAAAAACAACAACCGCAACAACAATGGCTACAAGAGCAAAGGCACCTGGCTCGCTGACCCGCCTGCTTGGCTGCTTGGCGGGGTCGCCGGCTTACGCATACTCGTACGCATGGCCGGAAGCCTGGGGCCAGGCCAGGTGACAGTCATGATTTCCTTACCTTTACTCGCCGGCGGTTTCCGTGTGGCCCAATTCGTGCGAATTGAGCGGGAGCCAAGCCACTGCCCGTTCATGGCCGTAATGGCGCTCTCAGCTTCCTGTGGCGCGATGCAAAAGAATGAGAACAAGAGAATAAGCCAGTTATAGATAATAAGTAATAAAGCATGAGCATGCATTTAAATAGGTGCGCAACGCCTACCGATTTCTTAATGAAAGACACAAAACCGTAGCCCTTCGATTTCAATGTTTGTGGATCACGCACCACACGGCAATCGCTGCAACGAGAAAAGTGACAGAAAATTCAAATTAATATTCAGCGTAAGCTTCTTTAAGGAACTTAAAAATCTTTTACAGCAGGATCTCAGCATGATTACAATTCTCTAGGAATGTTTACGCTTCGTTCTCCCAGACAATTGAGCCGGACATTAAATTCGGAAATTTAATAATTTGACTAAAAACACTTAATTTATGATCGAGTAGCTGAGGCGTTTCTAGACATGATTATGATAGGACATTTAATCTCTATAACTTTCGAGCAATTGAAAAAAAGTTTGGCTAAAATATGACCACTTAAAATATTTATATTTATCTTCGTTTTATTAAAACTGTTTCATCTCAACACTTTAGTAGCGATTTAGTTGATTGCCCGGCGACCGCGCTTCAAATTGATTTCCCACAGCAATTCAAAGGAGTCCACAAATTTTTGGGGCCATCCGCCATGGCGCTGCCAGGGCAACAGCTAAGCCAAGCTGCCAGCAAAGTTTGGCAATTACCCCTGATCTGGCAGTTTAGTTAACACTGTGCCAGGGACGTTGGCAATGGTGGCCGGCAACTTTTTTTTATGATTATTATAAGTAAACTGGCGGCAGAGCCGTCGAGCGGACTGGCAGACGGCTTATTAAATATTCACACGCGCCGCGCATTTAACAAAACGGAACCAGAAATGCGCCAAGGCCCCAAACATAATGCCAAAACCAGGCAACAACAAAAAGATACTAAAACCTCAGGCAAACAAAAAAAAAAAAAAAGAATACTAAAATAAAACCCGAAAACAAAAAAGAGGCAAACAACCACGCATAAAACTTTTGACAAAGAAGTCGTTGGCCCCGTTCTAAGAAAGTGGCGGCGGCTGATCCCAGCGCGACGCACGAATGAGTCCGTATCCGATACGGAATATCTGTATCCAAGTTCGTCGCGGCTGTTTGTATTAAGCGTTTTGGCATGTTGGCTACCAGAACTCATCTCACGACAAATGCCAGCAGCGTATGAAAAGAAAGTTATTGAAGTCCCAGTTGCCAACAGGCGGTAACACAGACTCTTACTCAAACTGTGACTCAGAAGGTCGGGAGGTGATGTGAGGCTTCTGGTGTTTCCGGTTGCCTGCCGCTCCGGCTGCTGTTGCTGGTGCTGCATGTGTGAGCAATCATATCAGTGAATATGATACCCAAGATATATATCGCTAAGGTGCCAATCGATTGCTCAATAAGCCGCCAAATCAGCTGCTTAAACGCGTTGCCATCGATACGCCAACGCACTAGGTAATTTTACCATGTGAGAGGCACAATGCTTCATTAGAAGACATGCGCCGCTTATTAGCACGTTAAAGAGGTATACAGGCGCCTGGCCAAAAGCCTCGCAGCCAAATCAAAGCCCTAATCATTTTAATGAGTTTTAAATTATTAACATTTGAAACTGCGTCCGTTAACAAGGGCAGCGGGAGTGCTGGGCTGCTGGGGGCGGGTGTCGGCACATTGATGAAACAAACAAGCGCGTAATCCAAAAATCAAATACTTTGGCCAACATTTTATGCCAGTCGCCGGCGGGCAGGACATGCCACAGAGCCTCTGTCAGCCATTTGCGCCAAAACTTTGCGCCCCAAACAGCAGTTAATTAAGTCAAGTTTTATGCTTTGCTGTTGTTTTCGTCGCTGTTGACCATCAGCTTTAGTCGGTTGAGTCTTTTCAAGCCGAAAAACAGCAACTTAAATATTTGACGCTGTTGTTTCTCGGAATTGTTGCAACAATTTAACTTAAGCGACACTTTTTGTTTACTTTTGACAGCAGCTGGCAGGCTCAGCACAGTGGCCGCTAAAAGAGTTCGCTTAAGTGATATTAACATAAATATACTTTTCGTGAAGTTATGCATTTTTTATGTGAGCCACCAAGCGGCTTACTGCTGTGGGGCCAGCAACCACATCACATGCGCCTGCCAATAAATAGCGCGAGCGTCGAATGCGCGTCCCCAAAAATTGTCGAAAAACCTGGCAAAAATGCGTAAGGGAAGGCCACCTCGAGAGCGGAATGTGAACTGTGAAAAGAAAAATTTGCATTTTAATACTTACGAGATTTCGCCGAAAGGTGTGAATGCTTCGCGCAACTGCTGAGTTTCAATTTCTGAACTTAAGTCACCCACAAAGATGTGGAATTGTTCTGCAAAAGATACAAAAATAAGAAATATTGTAGAAAATATGTTTCAATGTGTCAGTATATTTGTATTTATGTACGGTTATGAATTCAACTTTTTATATACTCTATTATTATCCAATGTGGTTTCTAGCAAATTATTGATTTGATTAAATGTAATTTTTCTTTTATCATAACCGTTCGGGTATCCTCAACAAAAACAGTCGACACGATATAGTCCCTCAGATTCAACGCCTTACTTTTTATTGCGGGCAGTATTTATGTCGGAATCGTTCGGATAGATACATATTATATCATATTATTGTCATACGAATAATGCCTGCAAAATTAAGCTCTGTTATAAAATATTAAATTAAAACAGGTGTGAGAGTAAGATCAATAGCATCTGTTTCATTATATAAAGTAGGAGCATTGGGCAGAGTTAAAACAACTTGCTTAAGAAAATAAGCATATTAACAAATTCAAAGACCAGAAATTACAAGTTTTACTATTCTCCTCACATATATATCTGGCAAACCATAAACCATATGTCTACAAGAGATTTCAAGTTTAGCACAACAATATTATGCATTTCTGTTTAAATTAATGATTATGCTTTACAAAACTAATGTAACCTCACAGAGTAGGAAGTTGTTCGGCATTGCAAAAGTGTGCAGCAAAGATCTGGGTTTAGGCTCAAATTATATAAATACATAAAAGTGTATGTTTAAAAATTCATTTATTATAAAACTAAGACTTGGAATGAATTATATAAAATTATGGGCATTTATATTTACGAATTATTTTATTTAAGCTCTTGATTATTCTTATTTATTTTATTTAGTATTGAGTATGCCCCTAATTGATTTGCACCTAAACAAAACTAAGGAGCTCTTTCTTCATAAAGACAATGCGAAATTGTTTTTTGATATTTTCTTTTTGTTGATTGAGCCGGACACACGGACACGCCGCTCGATGCATTACAATTCTCAACAAGCTTATGCTCTGAATTGACTCATGCTGTGCTTACAAGTGGGATCCAGACGTTTGTTAACACTGGTTGCATAGTGTTCTCGTATCGATTTCTCAAAAGATCTCTAATTGGATTTGATGTTTCCGTTTCCTTGACTCGCAAAGCGCAGTTGCTGTGGTTTGTGTGCTGCCATTATGACTAATTAAACTAATCTAATTGCAAGTAAACTCGGCATATGCGCCCACCTTTCAAATCGTGTTGTATTAGGCCAAATGACAGGCTAACATTATGTACACAGACGGGGGACATACTCCCTGCTCATATATAACAGATATACACAAGCTATGTATACGAAATTCAGCGAGTGCACAAATTCAAAGGCTTTCGCTGTCATGCAGGCTGCACATACACAAATGCAACGAGCAAGATGCACAATGCACACATACACACTCACATAGAGACAGAACAGCTAAGCACATAAAGGCATACACAAGCACACACATACACTCAAAACGCAATCATTTATTATTATTTTTGTGTGCTTTGTCTCTTTGGCACAGAAAAAGTCGCAACGTTTCAGTCGCTGTCGACGTCGCAGTCGCAGTCGCAGTCGACGTGAGTGCTGCGGCTGCTGCTGCTGCTGCTGTTACTGCTTGACAGAAGCAGAGGTGGCAGCAGGAGGACGTTGCCGTTGTCCTTCGTACGCTTTTGTGTCAGCTAAGCTCACAGCGCTAAGGCTGAGTAAAACCAACCAGCATACAAAAACAACAACAACAACAACAACGTTAGTAACGACGCGCATGGGGTGGCAATGGGTTAAGGGCCAGCGTAGTGAGTTTTTGGGGGTCGTCACACACACACACACACACAGCCACAGAAGTCTTACCCTAAATAATTAGCACTATTCAACTGGGGCGACGACGACGACGGCGACGTTGGCGACGTTGATGGGCGCGGCTTTGACTGCCAGCTCGACTGCTGCATGTCCTGTGTCGTGCGTCCTGTGTCCTTGTCATCGTTGTCGTCGTCGTCGTCGTCGTCGTCGTCTGCAGCACGTGCAGAAATTAACATTTCCGGTAATTTTGCGAAAATGAAAAGCAAAGCGAAAAATTAACGGCAGCAGAAACGTAATGCGGAAAGCTTTTGTGTTAAATAAATATTAAAAGCAATTCGCCAGGCCAAGCCACAGCCACACGGCAATGATGACAGTGAGGGTGTGAGCAAGAGAGAGAGATTGAGAGAGCGAGAGAGAGGGAGACAGCAGGAATGTGAGTGAGCCGAAAAGGCTGTGAGGTTGGCTTTTAAAAACAAACCGAAACGAGTAAATCGCTGCTGTGTGCTACATGTGTGCGCGTGAGTGTGCACACATTTTTATTTAATTGGAAATTGCGTATACGCCACCATTAATGAGCCCATTGTAAAAGCAGTCGGCGGCAAGGCTTAGCTGGTTGCCATTTTTCGTAGCCGTGATTGAAGTTTAACTCGACTAGGAACAGTCGCAGGGTCAGGAGCAGGCCCTCAGTCAAGTTGCGACTCACAGCTCGAGTTGTTGTCATTATTGTAAGTCAATTGTGTATTGTCGTTGTTGTTGCTGTTGCCAGCTCAAAGGCGAAACGACAATTGAGGCATGCACGCAACTTGCGAATGACTTCACATTGGATGGCTGCCTGCTTGACTGGCTGGCAGTCAGACTTTTGGCTTATTGGAGCCACCGAATGTAATATTCATGAACCGGAACGAAAAGCAAAGTTCTTATTGCTGTTGCGCACAGGCAGAGAGAGGGGCAAAGAATGCGGAAACAGGCTGCCCGAGTGAGACAGACAACCGTGCACGCTAATTGCAGTCAAAGGCTGCTTTAAATTTACCTCGCATAGGCTGCCAAGACGACCTGGTGCTGTATTGGCAGCTCGTCGCTGCCAGCATTTCTTTAGGCCGCCTCATCAACTCGTTGCCTGATTAAAACCGTGCGTATGTAATGAGTTAATTAAGTTTTTGGTATCGCGGAAGTAGTCCTACCATTCGTTCAGCTACTGTATCATCGTGTAGACCAACACACGTGCACATAAATTAATTAAAAATCCTTGGCAGGCGCACGGCTGTTACAAGTGTTTTGTATATTTGCAGAGGACGCGTCTGCCCCGGCATGAAAGCGCTAACAACCTGCAGCCCAGGACACTGGCCATGCGGCTTGGAAGTGTGTCAGTAGTGCGCTGCCTGCCACGCCCACTTCTCTACCTTTTCATCACAGGCGGAAGCTCGGCCTATGTATGTGTGCTTACAGCTTTATTTAGTTTGCGTTGCCAGAGTTGTTGTAAATTGTATGTTATCCGTTTCCCCTGTTTGTGTTGCCTTTATTTATGTGTTGAGTCGTTGGATGTGTGAGTGTGTATGCGTAAGTGTGTGTGCTGATTTGCCATTGTTATTTATGCGTTTGTGCTATACCTTATTTCATGTTTGTCTTACATAAGCTGCAACGCTTAATTACACGCAATCGCATAAAGTCAGAGACTCGCAGGCAACAGCTAAGTGTAGGCAGCCCTCGAGTTGAATGGAACAGATTTATCGCTAGCTGTATGCAGCAAAGCAAGGGTTGTCGATAGACTTGCCAGGGTAAATATGTATGTCACCTTTGCATATATGTTATCGATTATGCATAGTAAAATTTATGCAGAAAATCACTTTCCAAATCCATGCGGCCATTGACCACATGGCGTATGCTTAATCGTAATGGCAATTATGTACTCACTGGCTAAATGGCAATGCATTAAAACTAAAAGCGTTTAGTGGCTAGTCGAAAAGCCACCAGCTGACCGACTGCTGGGACTGCCCGCTGTCATATAAAAGCCTAAAAAGAGTAAACAATTTGACGCTAACAACCGCAAAACGTGCGGACCGACAAAGCCCAAAAGCCCGAACCGCCCACAGTTTAACCCAAAAAATTGATGAATATGTAAGCAAATAACGAAGACTAACACGCAGCGGGATGCCACACATACTAATACACTGGATAAGTATATGCGGGTATATACATACACATATATACATATATAAAAAAAAGGATCAAAGTCCTAAGGCGCGTTAATTTTCCCAAACGTCAGCAGAAAAGTAAATCGGTGCCCAGTTGGGTCCGATACGGTTGGGCTCCGTATCCAACACAAAAATATGAATGCCGCTCAGCCGCACAGCCACAAATTATATTGAAATGTTAATAATCCAGTTGCTTAGACATGCTGTGCAGCGTTGGGTCGCACAAAAAGGACAACTCAACTGCAAAAGGATATTTACATGGAGATTTGCAGGCGGCTGCCCGCCGCCGTCGCTGACTTATGACTTTGATCAATGTCGGGGCACCCAATCAATTTGGTCCATTCTACATTTGCCGCATTTATGTGCCTTCGAGAGTCACTTATGCCCGCAATTTGGCACTGCGGTTATCTTTGGGAATAGGATACGGACCAGAACCAGGAACAGGAACAGGGACAGGGCAGCAATTGAAAGACAGGAACAGGGACATGCTGCCTGTTCATGTTTACATTCTACCCTCCCATTCACTGCCATGTCGCTTTGATATATGACACACAACTTGACTTCACTTGAGAGATGGGCGTGGGGACGCGTTTGGGGCACTGATAAGCGACTTGGTTCAGCAAATCTTTAAATTAAATTTGCCGACTCAAATCAGCAAGCATTATAAAGTATAATGTGCTTTTAATTTCATTCATTTGCAGGCTGCTTGGCCAGCTGAATGGTGGGTGGGTTGGCCAGTGGGCTGGGGAATGGGGATGGTGGCTGGGGGGAATACTAAATGAAACTAAAAGATCTAATTAGCGTTTAGCGAGCGTACACACCGAACAGGGAATAGCGACGGGCGTCAACTTAAAGCAAACTTTGTACTTTAATTTCAAGTTAATTACGCGCACTCGCAACTAAGTAAATGCCTGCCTGCCTGCCTGCCTGCTGAATGCCCGTTGCAAATGCATCTGCCACGCCGTTGCAAGCAGCAAGTTTCCGCAGCAGATTGCAAAACTGAAAGCCAATCAACTTATTTAGCCTCAACTTCTTTACCAGCTGACTGCTGTCTGTTCCTCTTGTCGGTTGTCTATTTAATGAAACAGCAGTCACTTTAAGGACTCTCAATGCTCAACACTCAGCTGGTCGAGCCAGTCGTTGACATTAGCAGCATTAAGCGTCGCCTTCGTGATTTTAATGGTGTTGCTAATAACACGGGCAGTTCCGTTTTCCCAATCTATTTGAGCGCTATTGACCTTACGCATTAGATCGATACAACTGTCTTCTAAGGAATTTGAATTCATCAAAATGCATTTTCTTAAATATGTTGCACACACCTAATGATACTTTTAACTGAAGTGCGTTTGAAAAGTAACTTGTTTTTATTAAAGAGTTTTGACTCATAATCGCAGTTCAGCAATTAAAAATTGAAATTCTGTCGTTCGTTTAAAGTTGGTCGCCGTTGGCAACAATTTTCTCGGTGCTGTGAAAATATCTGTTGTTGAGTTTCTTTGTAACGAAACAAACAGGATAACTGCTGGAGTATCGTCATCAGGTTGTCGCGGTGCGCAGATCAAATGAAATTTTCATCTTCATTGTGCTGTGCGTCGCGTCACTAAGCTATATAATTATATACATTTATACACTTAAACATTTCTACAAAAAGCTGCGTGGCTGCTCGTCGCGTGCTTGTATGTGTGTGCAAATGAATCTCTAGCTGTCTGCGTGTGCGTGTGTATGTGTCTGTGTGTGGCGCGTTGCTGTGGGGGTTGCTGACATCGAGGTTTGCTACCTTTTCGTGCCGTTGCCGCAGAAACTTTTTGGGTTATTCAGTGACTACGTTGCACTATTCTTAGCTAGCTGTTGTTGTTATTATTGTCGTTGTTGCTGCCACCGGCGACGTCGTCGTCGACGTCGTCGTCGTCGTCCTCGCCGCCACCGTCTAACGTGTAAAACAATGACTCATTAAGACTCATCTAAATTCTAATGAGATTCAGTAACTATTAAAAACAAAACATGGCAGAGGCAAAAGCAAAGGCAACAACAACAACAACAACAACAAGAAACTCAGCAGTAGCAGCAACTGTGGCAAAGGGTTGCTGCCCCAGAGGCAATGTCTCGTCTTCACGGGCCCCCGCCCTAAAGCTCTTATCAGAGCGCCCTTTTGCCTACGGCTTGTGTCCATTTTGTGCTGATTCTGCTGGTGTCTTTAAGTCCTCGGTCCCCCAAAAATTTAACTCATTTATATGCAAGTCGCCTGCGTTGCCTTTAAACAAATGTCAGTAATTTGATTTAAATTTGGCACACAAAAGGAAAGAGACAGGTACAGTGAGTGAGAGAGAGAGAGAGGCAGTGTGAGGGTAGGGTGCACAGAATGCAAAAAATTATGTGTATTGTTGGTTGTGTTTATAAAGCAATCAGTCCAGGATGTTTAGTATAGAGTGTGAGTGAGGATAAGGTTTTTAGGCCTGTTCTATTTTGGTTTCTGCTCGCGTGCAAATTTCGCATTTAAATGCCAGTCATAGGCGCTTGTTTGTCTATAGGCTAGGACTAGAGGATGCCAAGGAAAGGGGTCGGCTGCCATTTGCATTTGCTGTGTGTTGACAATTGTGTAAAAAGCGTCGCAGGACAAGACACTGCAGCACACATCACACACCCAGACACACATAACATACACGACAAAGACAGAAAGCGAAAGAAATGGCAAATTTGCGTATGAGAAATCGAATAGAGGCAGTCCAGGAGGCCAACGAATGCATTAAAGTGCTCCCTTGGCGAACAAACGAACATGTTGCCTTATAAATTAGAAAGAACATTCGCTTACTCTCTCTCTCTCGCGTACATACACGCACACATAGGCACACGCACTTGGCTGTTGAGTACATAGAAAACGAAATAGAAATTGCGTATGTTTGCTTTTTAAGGGCAGCAACAACCAACACCTAACTGGAACCACAGCAACAACAACAACAACAACTGGAGGAGCGAAACAAAAAAGGGCACAAGCATTCTGTATGGCAGGGTCGTGGCCGCCTTTGCCACCCATGTATTTGCATTGGATTTCGGGCAGTTATACGAAAAACACACTTCATAGACTGACAGCCAACCACCCACCCAAACGTTCACACACGCACACACAAACTGAACCCCCCACTAACAACAATGAACATTAAACGCCGTTTGTTGTCGCATTTACCGAGCGGGTTGGGGGCTGACGGGCGGCGCAGACAAACAGCCCGGCGGAATATGTTGCTGTTGTTGCAGTTGTTGCTGCTGGTAGCACATGTTAAAGGTAAACGCGACGCAGGTGAACCAGCTCCCAGCTCCTCGATTCATGCAATCTGCATATTTGCTGGGCGCCACGAAAGGCAAAGCAAGTAAAAACCTGGGTCAAATTGCGGTTACCGCTTCAGTTTTTCCTTTTTTTCTATCCATTTTCCCTTTCCCTTTTTCCTGTCGTGTCACTAGTTTTTAGTGTGTGTAAGCGTAGGTGTTGATGTTACCACACTCACACGCACACGAACACACGCACACATAACTAGTTTCAGTGCCATTATTGGCTCAGTCACACGCTAGACACTAGCCTAAAAGGCGGCTACGATCTTTTTTGGGCTGTCGGGGTCATGACATGACTAGTACATACGCGTCTCTATATATACACCCGGAATCAAGCTGGGTCTGGAACTACGAGCTGGGTTGCCTCGCGTTGGATTGTTAATTGTAAAGAGTTTGGCGTTTGCCATGTGTGGGTGCGGTTTACGGTTTTGCCAACAAACTCCGCACTGAAAGTGGCTTTATTTAGTTTCGCACATTCACAGTTAATTAATTTTGTTGCCAGGCCATAAGAATAGAAAAAAGTGTTGGTGCGTTTGATCTAAAAGACTAATGAATGCTGTTGAGTGGGGTTATATTGAAATGCGAGTAGCTGGGGCATAAAAAATGGTGGCAAATCAGCTAAGCACTTAACATGGAATTAAAGGTGTCTTCCAGTTTAATAGAAATAGAAATATGCCTTTGTGCTACAACAGAAGTCTTACTTTCTTTCCAGGAATATCGCACAGTACTCGGTTCGTAGTAACAATTAAGGCTGTGTAACAATTAAGACTGCTCCTGTCAGGAGTGTCGAATTAGGAGTTATCCCGGAGACTGCGCTGATCAACCCTTACACAGTTTCTTGTTACTTTCTTAATTACATTTATAAGTATAAAACACATATACACAATGAATAATGACTTCTTAAATAGCGTCTGTGCTTACAGTCTGATCTTTAGATTTATAAATTAGAGCATAAATATTGGCTCAACCTACATAACTAAATGTTTCTTTCAATGGGGATATATCCAAAAGCCTTGAGTAAAAATACATTTTTCACGATAACCTTTGTACCCATTTTCTAGGCTCCAACTATAGGGTATAAAAAGGCAGTGCCAGAAAATATTTATGTCTATCGTAAAAGTATCGTCCAGGCGACACCGTCTTGCGTTTGCGATCCTCCGCCGAACGTGAAGGTACGGAAGCGATAACAAAGCGATTTTTCTGGCTATGTAAAATGCATACTTATTTTCGTAGCATTCAAGAATTTCAATAGCAAACAGTCTTAGGAAAAATATGCTACATTCCAGAATTCATAAAGTCGAACAGCAAACAGTTTTGGACCTGATCGGCCTTCGACTCTTTTGCAATTTATTGAGTGCTTTATCGGTATTACAAAATATTTGGCAATAGTTTTAATTTAACCAAATTGAAACGGTGGGCGAAGTTGCAACCATTT